GATGAACCACCGCACAAGGCGGAGATCCATCGTGAAGGGGCGGCGCCGGCGATGGGGGGCCTGAATCTTCAAATTGCTCAGCATTTTCCATGCTCTGCGAGCGGCGACCCATCTAATGTTGGACATTGTTTTTTCTTTTTGAAGAAAGATTTGAAGAAATGGGTTTCATTATATAGTGGAATTCGGGAGGGAGACAGAGAAGAAGGAGAGGAAGAAATTGTTGAAACGATGGGATGAAATTTCCAGAGAGAAATTGTGGGCGTGGACAGAATTTTCATGGTCGTGAAAAGGGTGGAGTGGAGTGGAAAATGAGCTCATCAAATTTTGGATGCGTGGGTTTTTGTTTTCCAATTTTGTCCCTAGTTCTTAGATTTAATTACAAATTTAGCCATCTAAGATTTTTTTTCTCTTGTTAGATTAGAGATTAGACATCTGGTAATTCAATTTGATATAAACAAATTACCCCTCACCTTTTCTAATTTTCAAACGGAATAATACATTACCAACCATAGTTCAACGATAATTGGCATATATCTCAAAGTTCGAATTCCCTCTCCAACATATTTTATTAAAAAAAACATAATAATACATTGAAATTTAGTCCCAAATAAATTCACGTCTTTCCATTCATGACCTTGTTTGGACTTCACCCACACGTGAATTAAAAAGTGAAGGAAAAAAAAACCTCACTTTTTGGACTAAGAATTATCAAATAATAAAAATGGTAGTAAATTCTTTTTTTATTATTATTTTGTGTACTTGCATATATGGTAAAACAAGTCCCATGAATTACAAATATAGCAACGATATTTTGAATTTTCAAATATAAAAAATAGAATTTAGCTCATACCCACCTTGAAAAGACTAATACAACTTTGAAACTTGTAGTAGTTTCTTGCTATCTCATCCCACTAACATGGACGATATGAGAATATATCATGCATTTACATCCATATGTTAATCAATGATAGATTATATAGCTGATCTAATTAATAGATGTAAATGAGTGACGAAAAGATCTATCAGTGTCTATCGGTGCAATGATATACTCTGATAAAAAGAAATAATAAAATGTCTAAATAAACCTATCCACGGCTTAAAAAATTATCATATTTCTAAAATCATAATTTTGTTTATTATCTACAATGTAATTGCTCATTCATTTGAATTTTTTCATATTAAAACGACTCATCAGAGATGAGTCATTTTTGTTTTACATGAATAGATATAATAATTGTTTCAAGTTCTTACAGAAAGTGACGTTGATTGGCCCAATAAAATTAAAATTATATAGACTTATTATTATTATTTTTATTTTAATGTCGTGTGGAAAACAGTTGAATTTGCTAGGAAATTATCCTGTGTTTCGAAGGATGTGTCATGCCAACAATTTCTGAAATGCCATTTTTTCAAATAATGTCAAGAAACTTCTTGGAAATTTCGTTATTTTTATTTTGTTACGTTAAACCAGGTATGAAAATTCGAAGTTCAGACTTTGTAGTAAAGAATATTGGCCTAGTTTAATTGAATTATGTTACGGTTTTTTTTAATTGATTGTATTTATTTTTATAGGAAAAGTTATACAAATATATTAAATATTTGAACACTCAAGTTTATTTTCTAGAATTAATGCAAAGAGATAAGTGTATAATACATTTGGATAACATTCAATTATTTAGGATATTACAACTGAAAGGGTCAAATCAAAATAAATCTAGCCGATATGGTTTATAGGAGAATCAATAGAACGGTGCTTTTTATTTTTTATTTTTTTAGTTAAATAATTATAGGGTGGGATTAAACTATGATCTTGATCATTGATATATTATCTATCGAATTATGATTCAATTGGTATCTTACTCTTTTTCTTAATAAAAAAAATTAAAATTGATTAAAATTGTAAAGGAAACTCGATAAGTTCAAACTCTTAGGAGTATTGTTAAAATTTTATAAATATAAAAGAGATAAAAAGATGACAAGAAAAATTCTCAAATATCTATTTTATTAATATAGAAAACATATAAATGATTGTCGAACATACCATTTATCCACTACATATTTATATTTATCATATTTAGTATATTGATAAAGTCTTTTTTTTAATACAGTATGCGGAGATGAGGGACCAAACTCATAACAACCTCTTAGTTGGAGATATATGTCAATTACCGCTGTATGTTCGCTTTGTCTATTGATAAAGTCATTTGGGATGAAATCAAAAAATAAATTCATGCTATTTTATGTGTTTAAGGGATAGTTTGGGTAGCTTGGGGCTTAAAAAATAACCCTGAGATCTTAGGTTCAAACTACATGCAACGTAGGGTCAAACCGTTAACAACAGAGAGAGTGGTTTACATAATTATATCAAAAGTAAATTTCATGAAACCGGTTTTTAAAGCATGTTTGTAAAGTTGATTTTTCTAACTTTTTTTTGTTGGATCAAACTTGAAAATTTACTTAATTTTAATTACTTTTTATTCATTAGAGTTTGGTGGTGTGATGCCAAGCAACCTAACTCAAGACGTACCCAATTGATGTTGAGTTGCAATCATGTCATATTGGTTCGGTAATGATTTGGTGTCTCGTTGCAAGTTTTACGTGTTGAGTTACGAGTTATGTCGTTGAGTCGATAGGTTGTTTCAATTTGTAAAAGTATGTTTTGAGTTGGGTTGACAATTTTACACCACATTTAAATGAGGAAAAAAATAATTTAAAAGTATAGATTTTGATTTTGACCACGACAACCACACCATCACCACTAAAATTGAATAATTTTTTAGTTCACTTTGAGATCCTAAATCTCCTCCATAGTTCAAACTAAATCAATGGGCCATCTTTTTATAGTAAATTTCTAAAATTTGCTAACAATGGCTATTGAAATCCATGTATATATATATTCCTTCTCTCTTTCAATATTTTCACTTCACTTTTCTCACCCTGCATTTTGCAGGGTTGAGACAGTGAACCAAACGATTCCATCGTCGTTTTTCTCTAGGTAATGGCAAATATATCAACCACTACGACGACGATGGTACCTTCTACACAACTCGCTTTGTCACAAACCAATGACAAGAATAATCCAAGATCCAACGATAGTGCGAAGAAGAAGCGCAATGTTAACATTCTCAAGGTGGTCTTGATGCTCGTTTGTCGATCGCCTGCCAAGTCCAACGCTACCAATGTGGCTCCCAAGGGCATGTGGAAGCGACTCATCGACTCAATGCGCCCTTTGCACCTCCAAAGCAATCAATCACCAGAACAAACCTTGTCGCTGCCCTCCACTGCCCCCAAGTCGCCATTGCATAACTCTCCATCGGTGGAGAATTTTGAAGATGTTCTATCACCGTCGTTTTCTCCCAACATTGTGGAATTATCACCTTCCTCCATCGACAACATGAGCAGGTTGCTAAAATGACATTAGTACTAGAATTTGAGCATACAACTTCATTTTCTATTCCCGTGTTAAATTAAATAATTCCTGAATGGATAAATTTAACATATTTTATGTATGCTCTCAATGAAGGTATGCCTCTGCTGTCAACCTCCAAGAGTTGGACGAAGACAACAACAATGGTAAGGCCAATGTGAACGATGGTGATGAGATGATTGATGCGAAAGCGGAGGTCTTCATAGCTCAATTCTACGAACAGATGAGGCTTCAACGCTCCAACTCCGTCCTTCAATACGACCAGATGATTGAGAGATCAATTGGCTAGAACAATTTCTACCGAGATTAAAATTTCTGAAAAATAATTTTATATTTGATGAATAATAAGTTGGAGAAGAATGATAAGTGACTAATAAGGTAGAATGGACTGATGGGCAAACAGAGGAAATTGGTGGTGAAGTGAAAATATCTATATTGTTTGGTGTTATTAATCGAGCCTTTTTAGTTCATTAATTTTGATGTTTTCTTTTTTGCAACAACATTAATTTAGATAAGCATATGATACGAGCGTTAATTATTTTATTTTTTGAGGAATTATGAGCGTTTATTATTATTATTATTATTATTTGAATAAAATGAGCGGTTATTATTTATTTGTTATTATTTATTTATTATTCATTTGATTTGAACTCACAACCTATACTTTCATATTTAAACGAAATCAGATTAAAATTGTTTTAGGTTTTATGTTCGCGTTAAAAAAATGGCATTGAAAGTATGGTGTGGTGTTGTTAATTACTTGTTAGGTTAGATTTTTCTTTTGTTTATTCTAGAATTTTAATTCTTTTTTTCAATATTTAAGATTAGATTTTATTGCTGCTACCCTAGTTTTATAATTTACTAGTTAACGTGCCAGGCATGTATTTCTAATTTATTCGATCATACATTAAAATTGATGAATTTATCAAATTTATACTAAATAATTAAAAATTTTGTATGTGTCGGATAAATAATTCTAATCATACAAAGTTATATATATTTCAATCCTAAAGTGACTTTAAAATATTTTCACGAGGGTTGGTACATATATTTGAAACTTTAGGAAATAAAAAAAGATTTCATAATTAATTTTTAGAAATAATTTCTATTATTAATTATAATTAAAGCCAAGTAACAGATTTTATAATTAATTTTTAGAAATAATTTAACAAAATTTTTTATATTCAGTATACTTCTATACTAATTACTTTGAGGGCCGTTTGTTTTTCGGAAATGTAGATGTCCGACATCATGCTTGAAATCTCATATGCCCGGAATTTTAGATGTCCAGAATTTCAAATAATCACGTTTGTTTTCTAGGAAAATTTATTATGATATTTGGGAATATTTTTTATAACCACGTTTGTTTTGCAGGATTTATTCATGGAAATATTGTAAATTTATGTAATGTTCCAAAAATGTCCTTAGCGGTCGTCATATAATTTATATGTTAAATTTCATATTATTTGAATTCATATAAAAATTGTACTTTTATTAATTTAATATTATATTTTTATATCAATTTTAGTTTATGTTTGATGGTATTGGAAGGGTAAAATAAAGGAAAGATTACACCTAGTTTTGAATTAAAAACAAATTAAGATATTATACCATTAACTAATGTTTATTTTATATCTAAATGTAGCATATAAATAAAATTATATTTAGACATTTATCAATGAATTAGTGCACACATTTATTTTTAAACTAAGATAAAATAAATGAGAAATAAATATTATTGATGAAAAAAATATTATAGAACAAAAACGATGAAGGACAAAATTGTCAGAAGAAGATGCCCTCAACACAATCTTAGAAACCTATGTTGTAGGAGGGCATCTAAAATTGGTCAGATGTCTCCCGTATAGTATCTTAGGATGTCAGGACATCTAAGAATGTTCGAAAATCCAACATTCCTATCAAACAAACACGGACATCTGGATGACCATCCCAGATTCCCATGGAACAAATGGTCCCTAAAAATAAAAATATGAAAATAAAAAGAAATATTGAATTATGTATAAATATTTTTACCTCTCACAAATATTCAAAGTTGCTAAACAACATTTTGCTCTAAAAAATTGTAACGTAATCTCTTACACTAATTTATAAATCTTAAAAAAAATAATGAGAGAGAAAACGAAAAAAAAAAGATTAAAAAAATAAATATCACATTGTTATTGAAAATGAGTGAGGAGAATGTAGAACTCTAAAAAGAAGAGGTTGTAAACGTTTTGACATTCTAGGACCTTTTAAACCTTTTAATGTTATATAATTAAACAGTATTAAAAAATTTTCCTACTTTATTATTTTAAAGGCAAAATCAAGTGAAATTAAAATAAAATTTCAGAAGACAAAAAAACAAAAAAACAAAAACAAAAACCTACATATTATACACACCCACACATCCGTCTTAAAGGGCACATATGATATTTAATAGAAAAGGGAGGATAATACTGTACAAAAAAAATGTTTTTCTTACACGATATATAATATTATAGATATAGATTGTCATGTTTATTGAAATTTTAACAATATGGATCACAAATGTAATTATATAATGTGCTTTTTGCCATTTTAATTTAGTCAAGGGTGTGATCTAATGATGTGAAAGTGTTGGTCCAGAGGAATAATTATAAATTAACCATGGATAAAATGCGTAGGTACCCTCATTAATTTTTAATTTGATTAGGGGTCAAATTAAAAATAACCTTGTAATCAACTAATGATTTTGGTAGGTTACGTAGGAGTTATAGTCCCCAACTCAAATAAGGTTTCATGACATTCTCTCCATCTCTTTAAAGAGGAACGACTCTACATCTTCTATTTAATAGGGAAGAGAATTGAGAAAATAAATCAAGTAAATCTTAATTTATGACTTAAAAGGTAAGATCCCACAAATCTATTCTCAATTATAGATTCGAATATACTTCTACTTATTTCAGTTTAATTCTTGAATTGACATGAAAATTGATCCATTTTTAAAGTTTTGATTTTTAATTGGTTGAATCCACCTGAATCAATAAAGTTTAAATGTTCCAACTAAATCCCAAAATCAGAAAAAGGGAGGAAAAAAACCTCAAAATTAGTTCATTTTCAAATGGATAAAAATTAAAATATTCCCCATGTCAAAACTTATAAGAATTATCTACAATCATCTCATACATACTGCAACGTACACAAACATAAAAAAAATGTAAATGTAATTAAAAACAGTTGATTTGTAGCTATGAATTTAATCTCTATAGTTTGAGGTTAATTTGAATCGGTTCCTATCTAGTAAAATATTCAATTTGATTTCTATAACATGCTCAAATTTTACCCATTATCCCTAAACCATTTTTTTTTTTTGAGACATCCCTAGACCAATTTTGACCATATGAAAATCTACTCATTCTCTTATTTTTTACATAACCATAAACCCAATCTAATCAATGAAGTAGAAAACATCAACTCATTTTGATATAAATAAAAAATGTGACACGTATTTAATAGAGTAAGAACAAACCGCGGAAAAAGGAAAAAATCAGAACCGTCGATTGTTTGTTGTAATCAACATCCATGGACAATCCGAGAGCACTTGTTCTTAATCCACCGTAGTCCCTTCCGCAGCGAATCTTTCACCTTCCCTTCAACCGTATAAACTTTATACTTGG